AACCACATCTGTGTTATTGATCAAACCAGTCTCTTCCTCCAGGTCAAATCCTAGACAAATCCTCCAGCAAGAGCTGAAGAACTACAAGAGAATGTTAAAGAGGAAGCTGCAGAGGAACTTCAGTTGACCCAATGTATCACAGAATTTCTCAGAGAAGATATCAGTCTGGAAATTCCAGGCTCAGAATTTTTCTTCTTCCAGACTTGGGTCTCATGTTTCTATTGATAAAAATACTAAGATATCTATGTCCTGACACAGATGGTGTGTACACTTTAAATTTTCTTCATCTTAATAGACTGTTTGACCTGGATTGCCTCTTATTAAAGAAATTAATTTTTCCTACTCTTCCCCTCACCCGTTCTCCTTTTCTTTCTCCATCCGTTCAGAGGAAAAATCAAAGACACACAGAGGACGTTAAAAAGTTCTGTGATATTTTTACACCATTCTACACCAATTTTGTGGTCACAAAAGCACAGCTGAGAATGTATTAACCAATTAATGGGAAAGAAATAATGGACTCTTTAAAATGGAAATAAAGCAAATCTCCTAGAAATACTGTGAGAATGGTCTTTCAGGAGACTCGAGTTGCAGCTGTGATAAACCATCAGGTTAGTAATCATGGAACTATGTCTCTTGTGCCAATGGTGCTTGCTTCCAGCTAAACATGCATAGGAGAGCAGTCTTAATGAACCTAGTAATGAAGCCACATTTACAATTCGAGGGTAATCTTGCTTTAAGTTGGGTGTTATGTGACAGATGATAATAAGAACAATTTTTGCCCAGGTTATTTTGATAACCAACAGCCATTATATAAACATCTGTATCAGGTTATAGCAACATAAACCTTAGTCAGATTGTATTTAGATTACTGAAAAATGGGCTACCTTTGAACAGTTTCTATTAACTGTAAATGGTCCAAAATATACTACTTAGTCTGCTAAGGCAACAAAAGAGTCACAGTTCCAGTAAGATAGCTATGATGGGTTCCTATTTGTTTCTGAAACACTTTAAAAACAATTATGTTTTATGACAAAGATACGTGAAATACGACATTCTATCATGTGAGCCTCATTAGATTTCTTCATAACTAAAGTATATTTAGTTGGGATCAGAAAGAAGGCTGATCTATTCTCTATATAAAGCCTTTAGTATTTGGCTTCCCTCCTTCGTTGAAGATTCACCACAACCCCCACTTCTCTGTAGCTGCTAGCCCTTGTTTTCAAATATTCTTCCAGCAGAGATCTCTCAGACTGGAAGGCTTGCTCCTTCTCACCTCTGCTCCCTTCAGCCATGAATTGTAGTCTTCCACCAACCAAACCAATTATCACCAATTATGACCTGCCCTTTACACAATTTTTTAAACTGTAAACAAGTTCTTAATATTATAGGAAGAGTAATAGAGTAATAGAGTCACAGCTGTTCAATTCCCAATACATTTTAGCAAAGCCAAATTTCTGACCAACTTGGTTACTTTATATACCCAGTTATATACTCTAACTCAGAATTAATTAAGAATATAAATATTACAAAACAAATGTATAAGGCAATGCTTCTGTATAGCATCCAAGAAAGAGAAGGAAGATGTGGAGGAGAAAGAAATGATGCAAGACGCAAGCATTCTTACTTTTATCTCTAAAAGTAACTTGAATAATTTCTAGTGGAAGGTATATTTCTACAGACACAGTACATGGTGTTAAATCAAACTATGTATGCGAAATCTTACGATAAACTGGAAATCAGAAATGTTTGCCAAGATTTACTGAAAATTGCGTCTGAGTAGCCTGGGGGTATTCATTCTACTAACTGCTCTTCCTGGCTCCTCCCACTCAAGTTCTTCTTTCTGTGATCTGTTTACTGATTATTATCATATAGTAATAACCAGGCTTTTGTCTCCTAGAATCTTAACATTACAAATAAAGCTTGATGTTTTAGACTCACATATCAGCTAAAGTGTCCTATACTGTCCCAGCTGTATGATGCCTCATGAAGCTTCTGAGGTTTCTATGAGGCATTCCATGCCATCATTATATACTGGTTCAGAATCAACCTTAGCTTCTAATTTCATAGCTGTGTGTAGCTAGAGCCAAAACAAAATATTGCCTTATTTATAGTTAACTCTGGAAATTTCTGATGATGCTTTTCAGTTCTGAAAGTTCTATTGCAATCTGAATAGAAGATGATGAGTTATGTTTTGGATGTATGTATGTATCCGTGCATGTGTATTCTTGTGTGTAAATATGAACTATACAAATATTTAAAGGAGGTCCTTTAAGGAATGTGTTAGCATCAGTGAAACACCTCTAGTCAAAGCATTGAAGTAGCCACATACTTCAGAAGGCTCACTCAACTGTCTGCATATGTATGTGCATACAATGCTACTTCAGCTTGGTAAGCAGTTCCATTGGAAGTTCTGCCTATGCCTACCTAAGCACAGATAACCAAGGACCTTCATCAAAGCAGTTACACAAGTCTTTCATAAGAGATGGCTGTTAAAGTGCTTTGAGAAGGGTGTTTCACTCATGCCAATCTGCTTTGGAAAGCACCTTTCTGAATGTTCTACATGGCCCTAATATGTGTGTTTATCAATTAGAAATCTATTATTCACACTTGGAAGTAAATACTCACAAGGAAGGATCCTGGATGAGGTCTTTAAGGTTTATCCCACTGCGATCTTCTGCAAGGTTCCTGAAGCAACTGTCACTCACTAAAAAGAAAATAATAAAGAGAAATATAAGAAATAAAAACATGTGAACCATGTACTAAATCTTTGACCCAGCTAATAGAAATCAGTTTCATGGTAAATGTTGGCCAAGAGCCTCAGGGTTCAACTACTGCAATATACTTTTATTTTAAGGTTTTAACAAATTTGCAGATAAGATTATTGAAAAAAGACAATGTCATTTCAGAATACTGAATAGTAGGAGTAATAATAACAATCAGCCATTAATAATAGTAATAGCACTACTGAATAGTTAAATGCTCTAAGTCTAAAACCAAAAAAACACTACAATGTTTTAGTTCTGAACTCAGTCACACAACTTGCTCAACCATTCATTAGAAGAGAATATCATAAGTATGACAGTGATGGATCTGTTTTCTTTTTATAAGCCAACCTGCAAAACTGGCTTTTATGGTAAAATATACTCTGGGAAAAAACATTATACAATAGTACTTAGTAGAAGTGGCATTTGTACATTGTATCAATTCTTCCTTGAATCAGGAATATGTCAATGACACTTAATTATTTTCAAATAAGTGGAACAAATTACAGTGGTAAACAGTCTGAATTTAACTCTTTGCAAGGACTAAATCGGGGTGGGCAATTAATTTTCCCAAGGGGCCACATGAGAAACTTTGACAGTTGTTGAGGGCCGGACCAATACACCTACACTTCTGCCCAATATGTATCTCTTTATAAAAAACAGTAAATTAATTGCTGGGAGTCGTAGGCGCTGCCGCCCTCTCCAGGGGCCGCAGAGCGGAAGTGGCAGGCGAGGCCAGCAGGAAGGGCACTGCTCCGCCCAGCGGGCCACCTGGGAGGCAGCATGGAGAGGCAGCCGCTGGTCAGCAGGGCTGCAGTTGGCTGGGGTGCTGGGCGCCAGGTGAGGAGCACCTCGTGTCGAGGGCAGCAGGCAGAAGGGGAGCCCCAGCGCTGGATGACCCCAGCCCCCACGCCGTGCGCATTGCTCACCCAGGGCGTCCCTCCCCCCCCTCCCCCCCCCCCCCCCCTCCCCCCCCCCCCCCCCTC